AAATGGCAACCCACTCCAGTATTCTTGCCTGGAGAATCCCAGGCACGGNACAGTGCCTTGTGCTCCTGGCGGGAGGACGTAGGATGCCTCATCTCCTTCTCTTCCTCTTGCCAAGCTAGGTGGGGATTTGTTTGACTGAGGAACCTAAGGCAACTGAGCCCGCGACAACACCCCTATAACCTTTGTTAAGAGAAAGCTGCAGCATAATAGGCCTAGATGCTTACTGATATCTCAGTATTATCTCTCCAGAAGTTGAATATGCTCTCACCTACAGATAAGGTGACCTAATCAAATCAAGAGAATAGGCTCAGGGACTACTAACTTGGGTTTAAGTCATTGGTAAGCCTTGTCATTACTAAGTATGTGACCTTGCCAAGGTACCTATGTAAGCCTCAGTTTCCACATCTGTAAAATGGATGTATGGTGTACTCATAGAATAGTTTTGAGTATGAAACAAAATAATGCAGAATTAGCATTTAATGTCGGGGTGCACAGAGAGTGCTCAATAAGTGACATCTTTATCACCATTTTTTTTTTTTTTTTACCATTTTAATTATTTTTGCCCTATCCCAAACTTTCAGTGCAGGGCAGCATACATATGCAGTACTTATTACTGAAAAGCAAGTGTAGCAACCCAGCCTCTTAGGCATGGTTGGCTTGATAATGAACTAGATTTCTCTCCAGGTGACAGCACTGGATGAGTTTTTTTTTTTTTTTCTTTTTTGTCCCTCTGCTTGGTTTCTTTAAATGTATCTCAAAAATGCAGTGAGTGAAATGGATTTGGCAGTGACTTAAAAAGACTTAATGCATTTTGGAAAGAAAAAAAAGCCACAACAAAAACCGGTTTGTTTCTGTGATATATGGTTCGTGTGATATGACAAAAATCCATTTTTATGCTTAGGAAAATTGGCTAATTTTAAAACAGTTGACACACGCCATATGCATGTAGAGTCGTGATGGATTTTGCTCAGGCAAACAGCAGAAGAGCACAGGGCCAGTGATAGCTCTGTCAGGGCTTTTAGACAGTTAAATTCTTATTTAGTGGCAGCCCTGTTCCACATAGGAGAACAGAGGGAAAAAGGAAAATGGACTCACTGTGGCCTCAGGGGTGGGAGTCAGATATTTGATCATAGAGATACCTATGACTGTGCTGGGGACACAGACACTGTTGTGATGACAGGAGTAGGAAAAGACTTAGGAATCTACCAATATAGCAAGCTTCATGTGCAAGAGAGTGAATAGCTTATTAGAAAGATATCACCTGGATAAACGCGGAGAATAGTGCAAAGGACACTGAATTGTTGAGCTGCCCTGATTTGGGGAACCTCCTGAGCTTTGCCTGCTCAGTTCTCCTGTTGTACACGTAAATGACTTTTGGATTTCAAATACTACATAGGATGTCCTTTAGAATCATCTGATCCTCTGGTTTATAGTTCTGCATAAACCACACTGAAAGGGAAATTCCCTATATTTTCATTTATTGCTAGTTAGGGCAAAGAGACTACATATGAAAATAAAATGCTCTAAAAACTACACATGAATTTAGGAGTGATTATGAAAAGTTTAAAACAGAGATAAGCCCTCTATTGACCTGCTCTACATTCATGCCTGTGTAGGTCAGCCAGATACCCCACCCCATTATAGTCTCAGGATATGCATTCTGTTTAAAAAAAAAAAAAAAAAAAAAGCCTTTGTGTGGATCACAACAAACTATGGGAAATTCTTAAAGACATGGGAATATTAGACCATTTTACCTGTCTCCTAAGAAACCTGTATGCAGGACAAGAAGCAACAGTTAGAACCAGAGATGGAACAATGGAATGCGTTCAAAATTGGGAAAGGAGTACATCAAGGCTGTATACTGTCACCCTGCTTATTTAACTTACAAACAGAGTACATCACGTGAAATACCAGGCTGGGATGACTCACAAGCTGGAATCAAGATTGCTGGGAGAAATATCAACAACCTCAGATATGCAGATGATGCCACTATAATGGCAGAAAGTGAAGAGGAATTAAAGAGCCTCTTTATTGAAGGTGAAGGAGGAGAGTGAAAAAGCTGGCTTAACATTCAAAAAACTAGGATCACGGCATCTGGTCCCATCATTTCATTGCAAATAGATGGGAAAACAATGGAAACAGTGACAGACTTTGTTTTCTTGGGCTCCAAAATCACTGCAGATGGTAACTGCAGCCATGAGATTAAAAGATGCTTGCTCTTTGGAAGAAAAGCTATGACAAATCTAGACAGTGTATTAAAAAGCAGACATCACTTTTCTGATGAAGGTCCATATAGTCAAAGCTATGGGTTTCCCAGTAATTGTGTAATGGATGTGAGAGCTGGACCTCACAAATCCATAAAGAAAGCTAAGAGCCAAAGAATTAATACTTCTGAACTGTGGTGTTGGAGAAGACTCTCGAGCGTCCCTTGGACAGCAAGGAGATCCAACCAGTCAATCCTAAAGGAAATCAGTCCAAAATATTCATTGGAAGGACTTATGTTGAAGTTGAAGCTCCAATACTTTGGCCACCTGATGTGAAGAACTGACTCATTGGAAAAGACTGATGCTGGGAAAGGCAGGATAGAAGGGGGTGGCAGAGGATGAGATGGTTGGATGGCATCACTGACTCAATACACATGAGTTTGAGCTAACTTCTGGAGACAGTGTGAAGGACAGGGAAGCCTGGCATGCTGCAGTTGATGGGGTTAAAAAGAGTCAGGCACCACTTAAAAACACCATATAATTTTTAATAGTATCAAAACAAACAACCCAATCACCCAAATGGGCAGAAGATCTAAACAGACATTTCTCCAAAGAAGACATATAGATAGCCAAAAAACACATGGAAGATGCTCAACATTACTAATTACTAGAGAAATGCAAATCAAACCTACAATGATGCACCATCTTACAGCAGGCAGAATGGCTATCATCAAAAAATCTGTAAACAATAAGTGCTGGAAAAGGTGTGGAGAGAAGGGAACCCTCCTACACAGTTGGCAGTAATGTAAATTCGTATAGCCACGTTGGAGAACAGTATGGCGGTTCCTTAAGAAAATAAAAATAGAGCTACTATATGACCCTGCAAAATCCCACTCTTGGGCATAAATCCAGAGAAAACCATTATCTGAAAGAATACATGCACCCCAATGTTCATTATGGCACTGTTTCCAGTGGCTAAGACATGGAAGCCCCCTAAATGTCCACCAACAGAGGAATGGATAAAGAAGAGAAGAAGACTCCACCCCTCACACTTCTGCTCCCTCAACCCGGCCTCTCGGGCTGGAATAAGGCGGGGTGGAATGGGGCGGCGCTGGTGCGGACCCGGAATCCTCGCTGGGACTCCAGAAAGTCATGCGTGCGCAGTCTGGCACCCTGGCCATAGGCGCAGGTCTCCGCAATGGTCGACTGGGCATCCTTGGCACCCGCGCTTGCCGTCTTTTTTTCTGGCAGCTGGGGATCTCCTGTTGTCTTCACCCGCAACCGCCCCTCGGGCCCTACTTCAGAGTCCCCTCCCCTCCTCTGGTAGGCTGGCGGCTGCTCTTGGGGTTTCGCCTCTCCGTACATCGAGACCGCTGGCCCGGCCGGCGTTTGCGGCTATTTGCCGCCCCCAGCCCTACCTCTCCTGGGGCTCCGCCAGGGGAATGACAGGCTCAACACCTTGCTCGCCCATGAGTAGTCACACAAAGGAAAGGGTGACAATGACCAAAGTGACCCTGGAGAATTTTTATAGCGACCTTATTGCTCAACATGAAGAACGAGAAATGAGACAAAAGAAGTTAGAAAAAGTGATGGAAGAAGAAGACCTCAAGAATGAAGAGAAACGACGCCAGAGATCAGCGCATGCTCGGAAGGAAACAGAGTTTCTTCGTTTGAAGAGAACAAGACTTGGACTGGGAGATTTTGAGTCCTTAAAAGTAATAGGCAGAGGAGCCTTTGGTGAGGTGCGGCTTGTTCAGAAGAAAGATACGGGCCACGTGTATGCAATAAAAATACTTCCTAAAGCAGATATGCTTGAAAAAGAGCAGGTTGGCCACATTCGTGCAGGCAGGCAGTTGTGCAAATGTTCTACAGTTTTCAGGATAAGCTAAACCTCTACCTAATGTTAGCTTTGAGAATTTGTGTGGATGCCTTTGTCAGATATGCTCTTATTATTCTGGACTTGAACTTTGTCCAGTTCTTTTTTCATCCATTGAAATATTCATATTTTTCTTTTCCATTTTCCTGATGTGGTAAACTCAGTGATATTTCAAGCACTGAATTAGTTGCATTTCTGGGATGATCCCTAATTAGTCTTGATGTATTCTTTTTTTTTTATGTTTAGTTTCATTTGCTAAGTATTGTTGAGGGTTTTTAAGTATCAATAAATATTTGATTTTTAAAAGAAACTTTTGGTTTTAGATTTTAAGAGCTAAATTTACTTTTGTCACCTATTTTGCAGTATGTATTCAAGTCTATACCATTATGTGGTATACCTTAAACTCATTCAGAGCTATTTGTCAATAACCTCTCAATAAATCTGAAAGATAAAAGTAATTAAACATGTATATGGGCTTCCCTGGTGGCTCAGTGATAAAGAATCTGCCTGCCAATGTGGGAGATGTGGTTTCAATCCACGGGCAGGGAAGATCCCAAGGAGAAGGAAATGGCAACTCATCCAAGTATTCTTGCCTGGGAAATCCCATGGACAGAGGAGCCTGGCAGCCTACAGTCCATAGGATCCAAAGAGTCAGATACGATTTAGTGACTAAACAGTAACAGCAACATCCACACAGCCCCTGGCATATACATGTTATATAATCACACATTTACTTCTATATCAAAAACACATATTCTGGACAGATTTATATATAATCCCTTCACATGCACATAACACACTCATGTATACCACATAAAACCACATACACCACATAACACCACACTCATGTACACCACAAACACATACTATACACCCTCCACTCAAAGCACACATACAACATATACACAATCACACCACATACAAAAACACCACAGATACCTCCCCCCACAGTCACAGCATTCTTATGCCACGTGAATGCATCACACGCACACACACACACACACACACACACACACACACACTTCTGTCTAGATCTGTGTCTTGGTTCTTACCTCCTAAACAGACAAAGTGTGTGTCCGCAGCCATCATTTCCTTACACGAATTTTTCACAAGCTGGAACAGAGGGGTGGCAGGGTCAGGGAGATTGGTAGCAGGGACATGGGGAAAAGGCAGTTCACCTCCCCTCTCATGTTTAACCCACACTCACCGAGGCAACAAGCTTTTCTGCAGAATTGAATTCATCTATCCCATACATTTGGTCCTTTCTTTCTACAATATTATGTAGCTAGAAGGGAGAGGAGATGGTTGGCACACAGCAGGTCCTGTCCCAGGAGATAGGCTCTTGCTTGCTGCCATGTTGGATTCCAAGGGCCACACCCTGGCGTCTGTCAGCAGCCCACCCCTCAGGGAATGGAAAACTTCTCCACCCATACCTCTGGTGTGTAGGTATACACAACACTTGCTATTCATCTGCTGTGGCTACCTGTTGTTCAAACACTTGAGGTGGGGTCGAGGGACATCCGCTAGGTGATGCTGGGACAACTGCCTTTGAAAGCTTTCCCCAGCTGGGCTCAAGAGTGGCACCTGGTTACCTGTTCTGAATTACCTGATCTCTCTTATAATCTTTTACACCCAAGCAGTAAACCTTGGCCCCCATATCCCGAGCCTGTTGAGCCTAAGAGAAAAAAATATTTTGAGTGCAAACACCCAAATACATGGAGCACAAAGCTGATAATGATGAACAGAACTCACTTCCTTCTTTGTGTCCTGTAACGTCCTTGGTAGCAGTGGCCCCGCAGTCAGGGTGATAATCAGGCTGGAAGCACTGTTCTCTGCAGAAGAAGCAGGGAGTGGCCTGGTCAGAAAGGCACCTGGAGAGACCTGTTCACACTGCTAGGCCTCCAGCTTGGCTCCCGCACCTCCTCCTGATCCAAGTAGCCACTATTCAGATGCCTAGAGAGAAAGGGCCTTAGCCCAGGACCCACTTGACAGATGAGGAGCCTGAGACTGGCTCAGATCTCTTCCTGGTGGACCCTCACTAGGGGCAGGTGGACAGCCTTTATTCTAAATGGCAACTGCAGCTACATCCTGGCAAGGACAAGCCTCTCAGGAGAGTGCAGGGAAGAACAGCCAGACTGACTGTCAGATGCTTGGGCAGCGGGCCCTGCCCAGCTCCCTGCCTTTCCCCAGCAGTCTCTGCATCTTTCCTGATGAGGGCTGCAACCCTACCGTCTACATGCAGATGGTTCTGGGCCGAGCACAGCCTTTCCCACTGTTGGAAACATGGTCACAGGATGAGAGTCAACCAGAGGGGAGAGGCTGAAGGGAAAGGGGGCAGAGCCAGAACTGTGGTGGACAGAGTGTGGGCAGCCAGGGGGACACCAAGGTCTCTGCTCCCTAAACTGAACTCCATCTACTCAGTGTCCCTGGAATTTCTCTTCTCTTTTTCATGCAGCTCAACTGTAGGTCAAGCACTTGATATCTAGTAAGAACCAGGAATGTAATGCATGACCCCTTGTGGTTCTCAGAAACATCCCTGGGGGAGCTTTGCATCCTCACTGTGGGGAGGAGGAACCTGCAGCACAGAGTGGGCAAGGAGCTCGCTTCAGGAGTCAGCGCTAGGAGCTGGCCGAGGAGGGTCTGCACCAGCCCTCGCTGAGGCCGGGCCTGGCTCTGTCCCACCTGAGCACAGTGATGTCAGTGGGCAACTTACTTCCCGAGGTAGCATGTTGAATCTGTTTATTTGCCTGCAACAAATTGAAAGAAAGTTGGGGGAGGGCAGTCAGATGACCAAATGATACTCTAAGAACTTGACAAAGCAGAATAAATTCTCAGAACTGTCTTTGTACCTTTATCAACCCTTCCTGCAAGTTTGTGGCTCCTGTAGGCACTATGTTCTGAAGTCGGCTAAGACCACGACTTATTTCTTGTCTGAAAAATCAGAAAAGAGGATAGAGGGAGATGTGGTTGATCATTAAAAACAACCCCAGCTGTCCTGGCATCATTCTCCCCTGTGCAGACCTGCCTGGACCAGAGAGCACACAAGTGGTCCTGTCGTGACCCTTCTGCCCATGTTTCTGCCACTGACAGAACTTAGTCAGGCCCTCTTCATCTCTCATCCAGAGAGCCTGGAGGATGCAGTTTTGTTAGCCCCGTAAGTCAGGCCTGGCTTTCAAAGTGCTCATCTCTGTCTCAGGCATCCAGACCTCAGGGGACTCAGCAAGGGCCCTGCCTTGACCATCTGTGTTGAGAGGGGTGCACCCACGGATATGCACCTGTGGATCTGGTACCCCCGACATGACTGGCTGTACTGCTGGCACATAAAGAGTCCCTAGTGAGCGGTCCCTAATGAGGGCATTATCCTCCAACAAGGAAGGCTGAGTTTGAGAAGTCACTCTGCTGATACTCCTGCCCTGTTCCCTCCTCCCCTGCCATAGACCCCTGTAGTGGACTGGTCCCCCATATTTGGGGGTGCTCTCAACAAAAAAGAAATCCTCCCAAAAGTGACAGGAAGAGTGGGGTGGGTAGGGCCTGGTTCAGCCTCCACTGGTCCTGATCACAGGCCTCCTCAGTTCCCATGCTAGGTCAGGCAGGGCAGGACCAGGGGCTCTCAGATCTTAGCTCATGGCAGAATCCCTTCTGCCTGAGGCAAGAGCCAGCCTTCAGGTGCCACATCCTCTAAGACTTTCTGTAACAGCTCAGCCACCACTCCAGATAAGCTTGAACATAAGCCCCACCCCCTGGTGTGTCCCAGTCTCATCCCCTGCTATCCGCTTTAACAGAGGCCAACAGAGATCCCTGCAGCAGCCTGGGATCACTGCTTTTCTGCTGGCATGAACAGTCTTCAGGCATCTTTTCCAGCTTATGGTCTATTTCTTCAGGAGCACAAGAAGCCCAAAAGCCCTAGACTCTGATGGAGCAGCTTGACAACTTCCCTTAGCACTGATCCAGAGGCTGAGAGGATGGGATAGGTAGAGGATAGAGTTTAGATAGGGTGTAGATATTTAGCAGGATGTGGTCTCTCAGTGCCAGCTCAGCCAGAGGTTGGTGGGGGCCAGGGAGGCAGGGCTGAGGGGTCAAATTAGGGACCACGGGGAGCCCAAGATGGTTTAGTCTGTACCCAGTGGGTCCTCAGCGAACCCCTCAGTTCCCTGTGACCCCTCCCAACATGCCTACCTTGGTGGATTAAAACAGCACTTGCCTGTCTGAGGTGAGCTTCATGACAGTTTTGCCCTGTGTGGAGTAGGTGATAAAGGACATCCGCAGGTTAGGGCTGGAGAAGAAGTATGCAAATGAAGCCAGTGAGGAGCCATGAAGTGGGTGCTTGCCAGTTTCCCTGCTCCCATTCCAACTCTTCTCCTTGGGGTCATTTCCTGAACCCCGGAGGTTCCTACAACTTAGTAGAGGATTTTGAGGCCTGTGGAGACGTGGGACCTTCTTGCTCCATCCCTATACACCCACCCCCCACTCCAAATCTCCTTCTGTCTCTCTCTTTCTCTCTCTCTCTCTCTCACACACAGGCATGCACATGGCACATGCACCAGAAGATAGGCACCTATCTACTTTTGCATGATTCTCTCAACTGGCCTCTTTTCTACTGTAATATTCTTTGTAACTTCTTTCCTTTTCCTTCCTTGCCCACCTTCCCCATGTCCTGCTCTAATCAAAGAAATTATTCTACCTCATTTCAGCCTTTCACACATCTTCCCCTTCTCCACATCCAATGATCCTCATTATTTTTTATCTTAATTGCTGCCATAGGTCCCAGCTGCGCTCTCTACTTCTCTTGGCTCTTGTTACAAGTCATTTTGACCCTTGCTATCAGACTTTTCTACCTGGAGGACATCATGTACCATATTAGACACTTACTCAAGAATCAGCTATAGCTCCAAATTTCTCACAGCCAGAATTCTAAGCCCCTTGGCTTGGCATTATGAGCCTCAGTGGTTCTGGCCCCATGCTGTCCTATTCAGACTCATTTCTCACCCTTCCCCTGAGTTAACCCTACTCTCCAGTTAAATAGACCACTCACCCCATGAGAAACCTCCTTGATTATTCCTATTACCCTGTCTTTTCCCTTTCTTTGGATGTAGTTCAAAATTTCAGATCCCCTAGGAAGTCACATTTGGTTTTTAAAAAATAAGAATACTTGCTTTTCCCTTAAAGTTGCAAGTAATTCCTTTGCACATTTCCCTTAACCCTTGGCACCATTTAACTCGGTATTTGGTTACTGGTTTGCCTGTTTCTTAATCTGTGAAGTCTCAAGGACAGACTATGTCCCTTACAGTGTGGCTTGACTCACAGGCAGGAGCCAAGAAATGTGCTGAGACTTGATAGAACCAGAGTGATGTGTCCTTTCTGCTTCAGAACACTCCTGTCCCCGGGTTCTGTGCCCCTGACCAAAGGGACTTCTGTGACCACCAAATCTAGAGAGCTGTGTACCCAGCCCAGAAGAGGAAAACACCAGCCATACTTTGTGTACTTCTTCACTATTTCATCCACTAATTTGATAATGTCCTTCCAAATGTTATTTGCCTTCTGTGACCTGAAAACAAAGAAGACCTGAGTCAGAGGCATAAGGGGCATCCATCCAGTGGGTGGAGTTTCTGCTTCTCCAGATTCTAGCAGAAACTTTAGAAAATCCTCCCCATCCCAGGTAGCACAAGGCTGCCACACTCTCTTAGTGACCTCAGTGGGTCACCCTATTAAAAATCACCCTCGGGTCACAGTGATTTTTATCACTGTGAGTGCTGGGGAGGATGATCAACCAGATTCATGTGCAGGGGGTTGAGGGACTTTGGATAGCAAATCAGGAGGGTCAATCATTTTACTTGGGGCTCAAAGACAAGAAAAGAGGGATGATGTGTTGGTTATAAAGGCCTCCAGTGATTCTGCTATGTTGGCTCTCATTGTCCCTCACTTACGGGCACCCAATAAACACTGGCCTCAGGCCAGCGAGGGTGTGTTACTCGGAGCATTTTGTCTCCATTTCTTCTCATCAGTCTGCAAAGCTGAGCCACTCTGGACACTAAGGGCCTTTTCTGGGACCACTGTCTGGGGAAGGGCTGAACATGGCCTGGAACACTGCTGTCCTGGCATCATGATATCCCACCAGCAGGGAAAGCCTTGGGCCCTTCTTTGGCCTTCCAGATCCTTGTTCCCGTTACCTTTAACGCTATTGCCAGGATGGAGACAGAGGAGGCTGAAGGGTGTTGTGGCCTCAATGCCCCTTTTGTCTAGGTGGGAAGTAGCTATATGTGTCCTAGCCACTCAGGGTTCGAAGGTCCTTGCCATCCCACACCTCTGTAGGCTGCACTAGGCCAGGTTATGAAGGGCAAATGTAGGTCTCACTGGCTAAGTGTTTGTCAAGGTTCTGTACATGGTAAGACTGTAACTGAGGCTGGTGCCCTGTCTTGGGCTCTTTTCCAGTGAATGTGAAAATGAGTCTGAGGAACCCACCACAAGTTCCTTCCTTTCACCTCCAGTGATCATCATATTCATAAATATGCTGAGTATCAAATGTGTGATTCCCTTATACCCAAGAACATCCTTTTCTTTACCTTTCCTTCTGCCTCCTCTAGGCTGCATCTAAATCTGTCAAGAGATGGTGAGTAAAGTAGCTGTTGGATTACTCTAACAATTTGAGGATTATCATTTACGCAGCACATATATACCCATCACTTTATATGCATGATTTCTGATTCCAAAACACCCCTATGATGCAAGAAAGAAAACTGAGGCTTTCACAGATCAAGGAATTTGCTAAAATTTCCAAGGTTACCATGGATTTAAACCCACATCTAGCTGAAAAAGCCAGGCTCTACACATCACACTTGTCAGCTCTAGGTGTTATGGTTGTGTTTGATAATTGCTCTGTTGTGAAGTGTCAGATCCTCTCAATCCACTCATAACACACACTTTCTCTTGGAAGCTCCTATGCTAATGTGTAAGAAAACACCTTTCTAAATATTGGTACCACTTTCTACTTTCCTTCTCATTACTCCTATCTTCTGTGATCCCTCTCAGTAAAGAGGATCTTCAAAAGATTTTTCAGGAAACAAGTACCTTCAACCCATGCAGCTTCTCTGGGAGAATTTCCAGTTTGTGATTATTTTGAAAGAAGGTCTAGATTCTAGAATATATGCACGTGCGCACGCACACACACACATCCATGAGAGTGCATAGACAATGGACAACACCATAGAGATCTACAGGTCCCTTAGAAAAGGTAGTATGGAACAGAGCAACTATGTGGGCTTTTGACACATAGAGCTTTAATCATGATTTAGTGCCTCACTCCTAAATGAAAATGAAGAGATGAGGATTACCAGAAATTTGAGGACATCTCCACTATTAAAACTTTAGGTCAAAGCGTGTTAGTGATATAGCTGTGCTGAGAGATTGGAAGTTGCTGGGGCAGAATCATGCAGGGGAGCTGAGCTATAAAAATGTTAACTTTTCCTCTCCCATGGTAAGAGGGCAATAAGGAACCTGCAAACTCTCACAGCAGGAAACAGCAGTCAGTACAAGCACTGTATTAGAAACATGATCATAATGCCAACAGAAAAGTCTGGAAGGTTTGTAGATGGCTACCTTTGGGGAGTGGTATAAGAAAGGAAGGAATTCCCTGGTGGCTAAGACAGTCGAGTCTGCCTGCAGGCAGGGGCCTCACAGATTCTTTTTTTACATTGTAAACTTTGTAATAGTGTCTGATTTTAAATTTATGTTTAAGCATATCATCCTAAATGTAAAAATGAAATTGCAAACAAAAACTTGTAGCATGGAGAATGGAATTAAATGGCAGATTCTAAAACTCCAAGTCCTCATTCTCCCATGGACACATTGAGTAAACAACAATAAGCTGTCAACATCAACTTTGTAAGAACTCTGAAAGTGAAAGTGACAGTGTTAGTCACTCAGTTGTGTCTGACTCTTTGTGACTCCATGAACTGTAGCCCAACAGGCTCCTCTAGTCCATGGAATTCTCCAGGCAAGAATGCTGGTGCAGGGTGCTATTTCCTACTCTAGGGGATCTTCCCATCCCAGGGATCGGACCCAGATCTCTTGCACTACAGGCAGATTCTTTACCAATAAGTTGTCAACACCAACTTTGTAAACACTCTAGAAAACAATAAAATGTAAATAATAAGGCAAATGCGCAATCAAGAAATAGTTCTCTTCAAAATGGCATAAGAGTTTTGTGGCAATTTTATTCACCTTTCCCCTACTCCCTCTTTGGTATAGTGGCCATTTTGATCTTGATCAGTGGTCCAGTTGCAAGTTCTTCTTGATTCTAGAAGAATCAGTGTAGATCTTACTTATGGATTATTATGTACATCTCTTTAAAGCTGTTTGGATGAACATTAGAATGCTCAAAAATAGGTGTAATACAAGTGAATTAAAAAAGCCACACATATGCCAGGGCCAGAAGTATGCTAGAAAAGTTCTGAGAAGACCTTTAGCTTTTACCTTGAGTAGGTATCTAGGCTCAGAGCAAGCCTATCTAAGTGGTGAAAGAATACCCCAGCAAATAACCATTCTGCAATGGTTGAGAGAAGTGCTGTTTTGTCTGTCTGTCTCCTATCTCTTTCTGTTTATTTCTTTTGGGGATGATTTTATATTTGTTCAACTTCTGGAAAACAAGGAAATCTCTATCAAAAATTAGCTGACTATGAGCTAATGAAACAGCAATTCCAGTGATTACAGTAATATTGCAAGTAATATTATTTGCAAAAGTAGTTTGGAAAAGTTTCAGTATAAACTGCTGCATACTTCTACAATAACAGAAACACACATCCCAATAGCCAATGGGGAATTCTGACTTCTAGAGTAACCACATTATAGTTTAAAAATAATTTTCAACAAAACATACAAGGAAATAGATCAATGCTCATTCAAAGGATGTAAATAAATTTACAGAAGCCATTCCCATGGATACCAAGGCTCCAGACTTTCTAGACAAAAACCTGAAGAAGCTTAGAGTCAAAGGAAAATAAGGACAAATAAAATCAGGAAAACAGTATATGAGAAAAATGATAATATCAACAAGAGGCATAAATTATTAAAAGAGCAAACAAATTCTGGAGCTGAAAAGTTCCATATTTAAACTGAAAAATTCTTTAGAGTGGTTCAGTATCATATTTTAGCTGACAACACAAAGAACCAACAAAGCTGAGGACAGGACGGTTGAAATTATCGAGTTTCAGGAGTAGAAAGAAAAAGAGTGAAGCGAAGCGATCAGTAACCTGGTGGTGAAGTGCTTCTAACAATTTTGATTTGGCATTTCCTAATTCAACTCCATGTATGCTCAGATAAATTCTTAAAAATTTAATTGCGCCTCAGTTTATCAGTTAGTATCAGAAATGGCAACTCTGAGCCCCTCTCCTTAGCACACCCTGGGTGACACTGCCCAGAACCCTCATGTGTCTGATGTGGGTGGACCTTGAAGTCCTGCTTCTCTCCTCTACACCAATCCCTCTCTTCCTCCACCTGTAGATCTCATGTGGGTGCTCCTCTAGGGCCCGTGTCCCTATTTTCTCATTGCACACACCTACCCCCAGGCTCCTGTCTGTCTTTTCCCAACCTCTCACTGGGCCTCCTTGAACCGTTTTTCTCTTTTCACTCTGCCTGCTCCTTCCATACTTTCCATTCTCCTGTCTGGAAATCCTCCAGTATGCTTATTCCCATGTAAAATAATACTTATTCTCCTCTTATTTATCACTTGTCTCTCTTCTAAAATGGAAGTTCCAGGAGGACAAAGACTTTGCTGAATTTTGTTTTCTGCCTTATCCCTACTTCCCCCAACAGTGGCTAAAGTATAGCATGGCTCAGTAGTTATTTGTAAATGGATGAATTAATAAGGGAATGAATGAATGAACAGGAATGCTAATATCATGAGTGGAATGTCCCGGATGACTTCAAAAACACTAACTTAACTGGTAGCCCACCTCTCCACAAAGGGCAGTGAGGGCTGGATCACAGTCCTCTGGAATGCAGAGGATGTCCAGAGAGTGGGGCTCTGCCTTCCTCAGCAGTTCCTCCCATACTTTCATTCTATTATTTCATCTGATGTTATAGTAGAAAAACCACCTATGAATTGCCCTTCATCATCTTCACACCCTGGTGAAGTGGATGTGAAGATCATCATTGTACAGGTGGGGTCACTTGTGGCAGAGAGAAGTGGGTGACTTGCTCCAGCCAATGTGTCTGGTAAGAGCCAATACATTGGAAAAGACTGTGATGCTGGAAAAGATTGAGGGCAGAAGGTGAAGGGGGGCACCAGAGGATGAGATGGTTGGATGGCATCACTGACTCAATGGACATGAGTTTGAGCAAACTCTGGGAGACAGTGAAGGACAGGGAAGCCTGGGGTCCCAAAGAGTCAGACATGACTTAGCAACTGAACAACATCATTCCACTGTAGCCATAATCTAGGCTTAATCCTGATGACCTGGGGCTGGGAAATTAGTGCGTAGGGCCCTTTCTTGGCAACAGTCGGCTCCTTTTCCCATTTGTAGAATCCAGGATTCAGTCCTGTTACTCTCACCAGCCTCTGGGTTACTTCATCCAATGTCTAGGAACCTTCCCTCTTTCCAGTTGATTATATATGCAAATACTTTCCCTACTCTACTTCCAGAACAGTTTTAATAATAACAGATATGCAGTAAAGGGATTTGGGGATTGTAAAGTGCTTCAGTGATATTGAGAGTCATATCATTGTTACTACTGAATAAGTAAAATGTATCCTCAGCCCTACAGAGAAGTTGACAATGGAACCAAGGCAATATCTGCAGTGTGAAGACCTGCCTTCCCCTCTCCTTCCTTGAGGACCAGAAGGTACTTAATGAGAGGCCCAGGTTTCCCAAAGCCATATGCAAACAGAGCAAACTGTTCAGAAAGTGCACACAAGCATTCACGTGGGTGTCCAAGTTGTCCAAGAAAGCAGCAAAACATTTAGAACCTGCAAATCAAAGGACTCGTAAGTAGTGACACCATGAGAATGTTTCACAGATGACAGGACGGTAGAAATTTCTCTGCAGGCAGTAGAAATAGAAGTCACTGGGTAAATAACAAAACAGAAATGAAACAAACCCAGAAATCACAATGAGCTTCTCCCAAGTACTGAGAAGACAGCTCTTGGCAATCACCTGCCCCTCAAGCTGATTAAGAGACATGCAGGTCACATCCAGGTCAAATTGATGGAGAGACTGACAGCCATCCAGAAACCCTATGGTGTTTTGTTTACTTTCCAAAATATAAACGTCCCAGGGGACAAAGACCCAGGGCACTCCTAACTCAGGAGCAAGGAGGACACAGAGGTCTATTCCTTGGGTCTAATTAAGACTATTCTTGTCTCATAAGTGGCCTTTCCACTGCCATGAAGTGGTTCTGTAGACAGAGGTTCCCTGAAGAGCACCTGGGCCAGGTAGGAGAGCCACTCACGCGTCCACTATGAAGTACAGGTCAAAGGCACCCTTGCAGGATTTCAGCTTCTCCCAGGTGCTTCCGTGATGTCTGGTGCCCAGGTGGAAGCTTCTCGAGCTTGGGGGTTGGTGCAGGAATCTCCCTCGGCTAAGCGGTAGAGGCTGCAGCCCGAGCATCAGAAAGAGCATGGAGCCCAGCATCCCAGGCCCAACATTCCCCATTTTCTTTGGCACCCGCCGTGGTCCCACTGGACCGTGGCCACTTCAGGCCATCTCAGGCCGTGGCATCTGCTACCTCCGCCGGTTCCCAGGGACCACCACTCCTCCAGCCCTTTCACCGAGGTGTACTGGTGCTGTAGGCCCCCCTGATATCTGCCCTGAGTGCAGAAGAGGCAAGAGGCTGGCCTTGGGGGATGGTCCCACTATCTGCACAATCCTCCTCCACCCCAAGGAGGCAGAATTTGCTGTGATGTCCCTTATGAGGGACAGGATGGTTGGCATGGTGACTTTGTGACCCGTAGGTCTACTCAGTGTCCTGCCTACTGACAATCCCCAGAGGGAGGCATGGGAGGGGGAAGATGAAGATTCCATTTGTTCTTTATCCCAAACATTCTCAGGAGGCCATAATTCCTTCAAAAAGCCTGCCTTTTTGTCAACTGAAAGAAGGCAGCTGAGGTGATTTATATGAGGACATCACTGTTGGGTCAAAAATTGGGAGCTGAGAGTACCGCAGTGGTCAGTTGAGTGACCCAGTGGATGGAAGAGTCTAGAAGGGGAAGAAGGCCTTCAAGGGATGTTAAAGTTCCTTGAGAATGAGGGACATTTCAGTTATCTTCTTCTGTGTAGCAAATCACTCCAAACTGAGTCACATAAACAAGAACTATTTTATTATGCTCCTAGGGTTCTGTGACCAGAAATCAGAGAAGGTTGAGTGGCCATCAATGGCTTGTCTCTGTGCTACGTGGGCATACAAAAGTCTAAGTCAAAGGTAATTAAAAAGCTAAGAATCTGAGTGTAAAACTTTTAATAAATACCTTAACCAATTTATTTTATTTTCTTCATTTTTATGTGCATAAAGAAAGAATGATATATGCTAAAAATCCTTCTCTAATAAGCCTACATCTTTCAATATATAAAATATGCAAAAGCATTTTTGGGGTAATATGTGAAATAACAGAATGTCTTAAATAAATGGTGTTTTGAAATTGAGGAAATCTCGGAGAAGGCAATGGCACCCCACTCCAGTACTCTTGCCTGAAAAATCCCATGGATGGAGGAGCCTGGTAGGCTGCAGTCCCTGGGGTCGCGAAGAGTCAGACATGACTGAGCGACTTCACTTTCACTTTTCTCTTTTATGCTTTTGAGAAGGAAATGGCAATCCACTCCAGTGTTCTTGCCTGGAGAATCCCAGGGATGGGGTCGCACAGAGTCGGACACGACTGAAGTGACGTAGCAGTAGCAGCAGGGGTACTTCTCCCAATAGCCTATTAGGTTTTCCTGGCTTACATTCTTCATGACACTTGGTATTGTTACATTTTTATATATTTTCCTATTGATTCAATATCTCTTTGTAGTCTTGATTTGCGTGCTTCGCACTGATGGGATTGATTTTGGGTCCTTTCTGAAGGAGGCAACAGGTGATAAGACATTTTCAAATTAATTCTTGGACATTTATATGCTTGGTAAGCCTGGAATGTGAATCTACATGTGGTCAGCAGCCTTTTACAGAGAATGTTCATGTGTAGGAACCCCATGTCTTAGTACCCAGAGTTGAAAGTCCCAGCTATTATTTTTCTTACAACTCTGTCCTCATCAGACACTTGCTGGAGCACAGAGAAGACATTAGTTATTGAGTTCCCATATCTTCACTAGGGGCCTGGTCTTGAGCTGAGTATTTTGCGCCCTACTGCCATCTTCATTGGAGAAGGAAATGGCAACCCACTCCAGTGCTCTTGTCTGGAGAATCCCAGGGACGGCGGAGCCTGGTGGGCTGCGTCTATGGGGTCACACAGAGTCGGACACGACTGGAGCGACTTAGCAGCTTAGCAGCAGCCATCTTCATGGCCAGCTTGTAGAGGAGACAATATTATCCCCATCTTTTTAGCAAGGAAATTGTAGCACAGAGAGATTAAATCACTTGCCCCAGAGATTAAGTAACAGGCAGTAATTTGAGACAATGGATCATATTCCTATTTCAAAGACATTTTGGGCTCTTTTCAAAGAGCAGAATTATGCTAAAATTCCTTGTGTCCTGGCTCTTGGTGACAGATGAAGACAGGGAGTGAGACTCATCCATGTGTACATCTATAGTAACCAGGATGCTTTGTCCTGGCAGAAGCAGTATAGATATGTCTCACACAGTAGAGCAAAGCTTACCAGGTAACACACTCTCTTGCTGATCAGCAACAAATCCCAACTCCTTTTGACTGTAACCAAGACTTTTTCTATACGTCTAATTCAGTACACAAAGGGCTCTTAAAAATTTGTGGGTGTGGTGCTTTTGGATGTTAGGCTATGGGGGCGGAAGTGATGAAGAGGGTCTGTAGAACTCCTCGGCAGTGGGAGGAATCAGTGGCAGCATACTGGAGGGTGGCTGGGAGCATACAGGTGGAGGGTGGTGGCATCGTGAGCAGCAGTTGTTTAGAAGAAAGGACTCCTGGCTGGGTTGAAAGCAGATATTTGAACCATAGGGCATCTGTCCACAGTGAAGCTCTGGTAGGCTAAGACTGCTGCACCTATGCTATACAAAAGAGAAGGGAATAGGAAGTCACTCAGAATACACTGGTGAATGGTGGTCTCCTCTACTCAAGGGCATATGGCTCACTACCCATCAGGACCCACAGTGTTGGCCTTTGTTGATGCCTTTTCTCTCCTTGGGTCCTGGCCTCCATTCTCTGCTTCTATCTGAGACTCTCTTCAGGCACTGGAAGTCTGCCCTGCCTTGCCCAGTAGACCCAGGCTTCAGGCTCTGGACTTCCTTTGCTTTGGTGTGGATCTTTCCTGTTCCCCCTTGGCTGAGAGCCTGGAGCGCAAGGCTGAAGCTTGATCACAGCTCCAGCATTGCCCAGGTTCTCTCAGTCCATTGTGCTAAATGGATGAATCCTCATCATTACACTCAGGGTGGACTCTGAGCCCACAGTGCAGGAGCAGATGTGTGCACCATTAGATGGGTGATAGGCAATGGAGGTGCCAGCATCACAGGCTGTTTAGGTTGGGAAGAGAATGATTCAGGCCTTTCGGACAGAAAAATATGGTTGCAACACCAATTGCCCCTGGCTTTACTGTCATCTTCTCCTTGTCCCTATCTCCTGCTCAGCTGAGGACTCTTAGCTGAAGGGCCCAGAATGCCAGATGAGGTGTCCTAAGCACCTTGGCAGCTGGCAGCATCTCTGGCACTCAGCTCCAGAAGGTGCAGACAGCAAGTAGAAAAGGCCTTCCACAATACCCTGTGAGGAAGAAAACCATCTGGTCTTTCCCAGATTCTCTAGCTCATTTCCAGTGGATGCTTCCTCAATGACCAGTGCCCATCTTTATTATTAGATTATTGACATATAATTGACATACAATGTTATATTCGTTTCAAGTGTACAACATAGTGGTTTGACATTTATGTACATTATGAGATGATCACCATTGTTTACCATCTGTCATCATTTAAAGTTATTATGATATTATTCTATATTCTCCATTATGTATATTATACCCCCATTATTTATTTTATCACTGAATACATGTGCTTATTAATAACCTTCTCTTCTTTTGCTGACAAGATTGATTAAGGGTTGGTCAATTTTGTTTCTCATTTCAAAGAACCAGCTCTTAATTTCACTGAGCTTTTCTATTGTTATTTTAGTTTCTATTTTATTTATTTTCATTCTTATATTCTTCTTTAACTTTAGGTTTTGTTTTTTGGTTTTTTTCTAGTTCCTTTAGGTTCAAGGTTGGATTATTTACTTGAGATTTGTCTTATTTCTTAAACTAGGCCTGTATCACTATAAGCATCCCTCTTAATACTGACTTTGCTGTATCCCATAGGTTTGGAATGTTGTGTTTCTATTTTCATTTGTCTCAAAGTATTTTTTATTTCTTCTGATTTCTTCTTTGACTCATTTAGTAACATGTTCAATCTCCATGTGTTTTTCTTTTCTTTTCCTTTCTTTTGCAGTTTTTTCCTTGTATTTGGTTTCTAGTTTCATTCCTTTGTGGTGCTTAATATAACTGCTTATTTATTTAAGCATATGAAATGATGCTTATTATAATATCAGTCTCCTTAAACTTATTTAGACTTGTTTTCTGGCCTAATATGTCACATCTCTGGAGAATATTTCACATACTTTTGAAAAGAATGTGTGTTCTGCTGTTTTGTATGGAATAGTCTCTCTATATATATCTATTAAACAATCCAATCTAATGTGCTAAGGCCAGTGTTTTCTTATTGATTTTCTGTCTGGATGATCTATCCATTGCTGCAAGGGTGGTGTTAAATCCTCTACTATTACTATATCCCAGGTGGTGCTAGTGGTAAAGAATCCGTCTGCCAATGCAGGAGACACAAGAGGGATGGATTTGATCTCTGGGTTGGGAAGATCCCTGGAGTAGGAAATGCCAAAATTTCCAGTATTCTTGTCTGGAAAATTCCATGGACAGGGGAGCCTGGTTGGCTATAGTCCATGGGGCCACAGAGTCAGACAAGGCTAAGCGACTGAACACACATGACTATTTTACTGTTGATTTCTCTTTTTAAAGTATGTCTGTTAATATTTGCTTCATATATTTAGATGTTCCTATGTTGGTGCATAAATATTACAAGATTTATATCCGTCATTGGATTGATCCCTTTATCATTATGTAATGTCCTTCTTTGTCTATTATAGACTTTGTTTTAATGTTTATTTTATCTAAGTATTGATACCCTTTTTCAATTTGCATGGAATATTTTTTCCATTACTTTTGTGTTTCTTTAATATGAACTGACTCTCTTGTATGCAGTAGATTAACTAGTCTTTAAAAAAATGAATTCAGACTACATCTTTTGCTCTTAGCATTTATTCCATTTACATTTGAAGTAGTTATTCACAGTGGTGTACTTATTGCCATTTTGTTAAATGTGGGTGTATGTTTCTTTCTATGTTCCTTTCTCCTTCTCCTGCTGTCTTTTATTGTAATTTGATGGTTTTCTTGAGTGTTATATTTGGATTTATTTCTCTTACTTTCTGTGTACCATGTGTACATTTATGGTTTGTAGTTGCTCTGTGTTTTAAGTTTAACAACTTATGTATCCAGTAGTCTATGCTGATTGTCACTTACATTTGAATGCAATCTAAAAACACTGCATTTCCACCCTATCAATGTTTTACATTTTTGACACCATATTTTACATCTTTTTATTTTGTATATCCCTTGATTAATTATTATATTTGTAGTTTATTTAAATTGTTTGGTCTTTTAACCTTCACACTGTCTTTACATCCTTTGCTTTTAC